GAGGCGGGAGGAGGGAAGGAGAATCTCTCCCTCATTGGCAAAGCCTGGGAGGGAGGCGGGAGGAGGGAAGGAGAATCTCTCCCTCATTGGCAAAGCCTGGGAGGGAGGCGGGAGGAGGGAAGGAGAATCTCTCCCTCATTGGCAAAGCCTGGGAGGGAGGCGGGAGGAGGGAAGGAGAATCTCTCCCTCATTGGCAAAGCCTGGGAGGGAGGAGGGAAGGAGAATCTTTCTCTCATTGGCAGAAGATTTGTGACAGATTTCACAACAACCCCTAGTATTGGAGGGGCATGAGAAATGATTGGTGGGGCCTTGCCCCTTTATGCACCACCATGGCTACAGGCCTGACCGGCTCTCAAAGTAAATAACACCCGAGAAGAGGTTTGATTCCCCTTTCTTTGGACAGGGTACCTCAGCAAGTTCAAGGCTGCTCTTTTCTCTCACTGTGCGCCTCACCACAGAACCTACACACACGGGTTAGGAATGACCGGCCTTTAACAGGATGCTTATTTGTACCACTATAATAACCTTTCTTCCCTAAGCTGACCCCCCAGATTCTAACAAAAAAGCCGAGTAAAAGCCTGGCTAAGCTGACACTCCTTTCCAGAGCCACAAAATCCCTATCCAAAAGAGAAAAGAGTTTTCCGGTCCCTTTTTATGCTGAGGCTGGCTCACCCCCTCCCATTCGGTGGAGTTCCATGGGCTCTGATTGGCTGACAATTGCATGAGGTCTAAATCACAAGGATTGGTTCAGAGCCCCAGAGGAGAGGTGGGACTTTTAAGGACGATTGCCCACTTCACAGTTTCCAAAGCATTTCACGATCAGATCATAACATACAGTTCAATCCGTACTTGCACCTGACAGGTAGATCTTGTTCTATATCTCTCAGGCCCTTTTCCTTTCCAACTGCCCCAAGGAGGCTTTGGTTAGGAAAAGCTGAAGGCGTTAGGAAAGGAGGGAAGACCCAACATGAGATGGATTGACTCAGTAAAGGAAGCCATGGCTTTCCAAGTTTGCAAGACCTGAGCAAAGCTGTTAAAGATTTCGATTTCATTAATCCATAGGGGTTACCATAAATCAAAAGCACATTAAACACAAGGAGGCTTTGTAAGGCTGGGAGACAACAATGGCTAAGAAGATCTAATTGTTCTTCCTACTGCGAAGCATGCGTTCTCTGGGGCTTTGGAGGTAGATACTGTTTACGTGCTGTTGACTTTTAAACCAAAGGTCTGTTGTTCAATGATGGCATCCGTATTCAAGGTCTGGTTGAGGCAGCGGTGGTAGGAGCTGGTTGCCCTGCCCCATTTGTAGATCGTCTGAAACCAAAAACAACCCTCTCCTGCTCGAAATCCTAAAAACTGTATTTCTGTGATAATAAATTAGTTTGGCAGTTATTCTTCCCAAGTTTTTTAATACCTAATACAATAACAGGGGACCATCAATATATGTCTAATAGCAGATATAAAGTACCTGGGGGTAGTCCATCTCCCATAAAATAGCCTTTAGCCTTAATTCAAATCCATTGATTCCTGTTCCAGTTAAACCTGCGGAACTTAATATGTCTCTTAATCCTTTTATTGTAAGCTAGGATAAAATTAATTTCACACTAGAACTGTGCAAAGCCAATTAACATGATCTTTAGAGTTATTTAGTAAAGTGCTTCAAACTGTTAAATTTATCCTGACCTCTCGCTTGCACTCCCTGACTGCTTTTTAAATGAAGTAATCAATATCTCGCAACCTTTTAAACAGCTTAAACTTTCCAGACATTTTTACCTATATTTTATTTAAACACATTTGGGTGGAAAATATATACACTCACGCTCGCAGATCCATTCCTCAAAAATTCACTTTGCCTTTTGTTTTTTGGTATTCAGCCGGCACCTTTTTGCAAAGCATTTAAATACGGAGCCAAAGTGTTCCATTTTCCTTAAAATCCAAGCCGATAATGAAGAAATCTGTCACTTCCATTTACTTAGTGCACTTTCTATGCACTGTCTCTACAACCTAAGTGTACTAGAAACCTTTCCCCCCTTTTCTCTGGCATAGCTTCTGTTTTCCACATAGGGCTATTTGAGGTTATTAATTTTCTCACTGTGATAGGGTGATCAACCGTACTGTCAAGAAAATGGATCTCCGTGTCAGCCTTTAGCATGATTAAACGAAGGCACATCACTGTGAGAAAATACCAAATTTTCACGAGACAAATGAAACTTGTAGGGAGGACAACTTTTATAGACATTATTTCATTTTAAAATCTCCCATTTGGCTGTCAGTTTATTTGCTGGGAAGGGCCGCAATTAATTGCATGTTCCTACTAATAACTCAGAAGCAAGTAAAAGCAAGACCCGGCTTCACTCTCAAATGGAGCAAGGTGGCATCTCATGTGCTTTTGTGCACAGAGTTCTGTTTATACAAACTATGATACTAATGACTCTCTTTGAAACTTTTGTCCCAATCCACCACCAGCCTTTCCCCAACACTGGGCATTTTGACTTCAAGCACAGTTGCGGAATGCTAAGTTCTCCCCAAGTCTCGACACCAGTTTCGAAACCTTCGAAGGTTTTTTACCCTTAAATGAGTAGGAGACAGGACTTGGGTATCAGTAATGTGCAAAACTTGTCCAGGCTTGCTTTAATGCAAGTCTGAGAACCGCCATCAGTAGTCGATGTAAACTTTTTAGTCTTTTGTTCCTGGAGAAACAGGTCCGTGTAAATAAGGCGACATTTCGAGACAGTGCGAAACCTTTGAAGATAAAGGATTGTTTGGGCTATAAATGTATTCCTATGCAAGAAGGGTTAACTTAAGGTTGCTTTAATCAAACAAAAGGAAGATCAACAAGGGGTGCTTTTGTGGGGAGGGGGGGAGTTTGCCAAGTGCCCCTGTTGTTTAATTTCCTACTGGAAGCAGCACATGTGTGGGGCATTCCCCCCCCTTTCTTTTCTTTAAACAGTGACCATTGCAGAGGCTGAGCGGCTGGGGTCAATGCCTTGCCTATTGATCAGTATCCCCGCAGTCCCCAGCTCCAGCATCTGCTTCATTGGCTTCTTTCAGCGCCTGCTTCAGTACATTAGAATAGAAATCCATAACCAGAGCTGTGCTCATCCGAGCAGGGGAAGAAACTAAATTAAATGGTATAAAACAATCTTGGATCAGGAGTTTGTGCCAATTCATCTTGATCTAAGATGTCACACTGGGCTCTCTGTCTGAGCACCTGGGCTAGAGGCAGCCATAGTGAAAATAGATGGAGCTGCGATCATTCATTTGTCAGCCAAGGAGCTCGGCAGCGGTTAGCAATTCCCTTCTGCGGAGGTCAGCTGACAGAACAATCAGTGGAACAGCAGAATGGAGCTTTCCTTTGAACTATTGTTATGGAGCGTGCCTCTTCGGGGTGGGGTGGGGGGAAGGGTGGGCGGAGGAAGGGGGTGGCGGCGGTGGCTTCCTTCCAGATCATTGTGTTGTGAGTGAAGCAAATTTTAAAAAATGGATCTATTTAGGCAAGAGTCCGCTTTTCAGTTTGCGTTGCCTTTAATGGCGGCGATTATATATCCCAATTATGGACGTTTAAAAACGGTTACGTATCACTTAGCATAGAGAGTGTTTTCATCTTTCTCCCCTAGAAGGTGACTATTGATTTTTTTTTTTAGTTCCTTCCCTTCTCATTGTTAAAGATTCCACCCACCCTTTGGGTGTAAAACTCTCAGAGCTAGAGCTGAACTGGGAATCAGTTTTCTTAACAGGGATTCTTATGCTCATTTTAAGAAGACGAGATTTCATTTGCTACAGTTTGGGCCTACGGTAGAGCACAGAAGAACTTTTATTAATTCACACTTCGTTAATCTTCAGACCTGGCGATTCTCCCCCAAGTACCAAGTGATCTCCTCAGACTTCTCACAGGAGAGATTTAACATCACGTTGTAGTAGGAAAGGGTGAAATTAATTTAGCTGGAATATATGGAAATGTCTTTCCTGGCGTGTTCAAAAAATAATAAATCTCAGTTGTCAAAATAACACAGGTAATGTTAAGAAGCATTGGGAAGTATGTGTTTAATTGTTATAAATGCTGCAAACCGTGAGGCTGCCCACCTGTATTTGGACAGGTATCCATATTCTTCTGTTGTTTCAATACAGGTGTGTATTCCTTTGTCCACTGGAAAGAGAGAGCTTCAGTTCAATCACTCCCATTCCCACCCCCCTACCCCGCCCCCGGCTCACCCCATATACATTGCTTTGGAGTACCTGAGAAGTAGTTCTACTATACCCTGAATTTGTCATAAAACCCAGAAGCCACTCACAATGTGGTATAAGTGTTGGGAAAGCAATGGATCTGGACTCCAACACCACTGTGCATTTGGAAGCAGAACTGTGGGTGGGTGGGGGAAATCTTCCAGTGCTCTTTTAGATAGCATGCTTGTTTTTCACCATTAATGATCAGCTGTTTGAAAAGACTTTTTTTTTAAAAAAAAATGATATTTATTCATTTCATTCCAATTTTCCTCAACCTCCCAACAAGCCTTGGAGGCTTAGATAAGGCTCGAGAAGATGGTGTGTATTCCTTTGTGCACTGGTGTGGACAAAGGTGGTGTGTATTCCTTTGTCCACATGGTCCAAGGTCACCCAGGAAGCTTTATAATGGAATGGGGATTTGAATCTAGATCTCCTTGGTCTAGTCCAACACTAGGAGATGCTGGAACATAAATTCTTCCTGGGATGCGCAGTCTCACAGGATGAATCTACACTCTGGCTCCTTGTCATGCAAACGTCAAGGGTAATGCTGGAATGGGAAGGAACCACATGATGGACTTCTCCCATGTGGCCAGAGGCTGCTAATGTTGATGACCAGTGCAGGAGCAAGCAGTATTGCAGTGACCCCCCACATTACTAAATATAAAATTGGAGGATAACCTGAACTGTGCACAGTGAATGGACCCCCCCAAAGTTTGTGACCAAAATGGTGGTGAATAGTTGACCCTCCTCCTAATTGTCTCTGTGTTGCTTTGCAGGTTCTCTTTCCGGATTTCCACAAATGAAGAAAATATCTATGTCTTACGAAGAGAGGCGCAAGCAAGCGACTGCTATCGTTCTGCTAGGAGTAATCGGAGCAGAATTTGGAGCTGAAATTGAACCTCCTAAATTGCTGACCAGACCACGCAGTTCTAGCCAGATTCCAGAAGGCTTTGGTTCAACTAGCGGTGGATCCAACTACTCTTTGGCGAGGCACACTTGTAAGTTACTCTCACCTCTGAATGAGTTTCCTGTGTCCCATCTGAGTGAGCTGGTTTGATAAACATTTACTACTAGAAGCCTATAGAGCAAAGATGTCAAACGCATTTGTTATGAGAGTTGGATCTAACAGAAATGTCACTTTGTTGGGCCGGGTCATGTGTGCCATAAAATGTAATGTCGGGTACTAGAGACATAAACTTTATAAAGGACAACAGCTGGTAAGCTCTGAGTTGGTGTATCCTCACTGCAAGCCCCCTGGGCTGGGGAGGGGTGTCCAGAGGCAAACCCACACAGGCAGACTGGAGAGTCACCAATGTAGCACTGGGCAGACACTCCCATGCCCCAACAGAGGATCATCTGCAAAACCCCCCCCCACTTGCAAATGCTGATCCCTGAGGCCATCTGGGACAGCATCCCTGGAACTGCAGGCCAAGTGGAGAGAGGTATGAATGTGGCTGCAGTGGGCTCCCAGCTTACCAGTCCCTGAAGTGAGGGGGTTCTGCTTGACTTCTGCAGACGAAGTTGTCTCGCCATGCTGAAGCCGCAGTTGGAGTGGTTTTGCCCACCCAACCCCAAGCAGCCTCCTGTTCCCTCCCTTGCAGCAGTTGCTCACAGGCCACATAACAGCCCTGGATTGAGCCAGTTCCGGCCCCCAGGCCTTATGTTTGACACCCCTGCAGTACAGAGTGTATCTTGATTATGGAATTCACTGCCACAGGAGGTGGTGGCGGCTACAAGCATGGACAGCTTCAAAAGGAAATTAGATAGGCATATGGAGCAGAGGTCAATCAGTGGCTATTAGCCACAAGGTATAGATAGGGGCTCTGGGGCAAGTGATGCTCTGTCTTCTTGGTGCTTGGGGGGGGGTCAACAGTGGGAGGGCTTCTAATGTCCCGGCCCCACTGGTGGACCTCCTGATGGCACCTGGTATTTCTGGCCACTGTGTGACACAGAGTGTTGGACTGGATGGGCCTTTGGCCTGATCCAACATTGGCGTCTCTTATGTTCCTATGATTGCTAGTGATTGTCTAGGTTGAGTAAGGAAAAAAGCACCATTGAAGCACTTGGGCTACCAAGGTTTGAACTGTAGTGTGCAAATAAAAGAAAATAATCCTGATTACAATATCATGTAAATTAAGGCCTTGATCCGCTTGCATTCTTGCAAATAGGTTTCACACTGTGCGAAGTTATGCGCTTTTACATATATTTGTACATGTATGCAAAGTATCATAAAAATGTTGAAGAGCTGTAGACCACTGGGCATCAGGTTGGAGAACAAGGCAGGATCTCTTTACATATCTGTCCCAGAAATGTGTTCTCATGCTTAAGTGCAGTAGGAAGGGAAGAAATTTCAGTTCAGGGATTGTGGAAGGGAGAAAGATTTACAGCAATGTTTGAAGATGAGCTGTTGAATTTATTTTATTTTTTTGCCATCAAGTCACAGCTGACTTATGGCATCCCCCGCAAGAGACATTCCAAGGAGGTTCGCCATTGCCTGCCTCTGCGTCCCAGCTGTGGTATTCCTTGGTGGTCTCCCATCCAAATACTAGCCAGGGTCGACCCTGCTTAGATTCTGAGATCCAATGAGATCAGGCTAGCGTGGACCATGCAGGTCAGGGCTCTGTTGAGTATAACCAAGATTAAATTGTAAAAAAGGCAGTGTATTTAGGAGTGAGTGTGGTTACACATACTGGTCCACCACCAGGTGCACTGGAAAAGCTTCCTGCATGCAGGGTAGTTTCCATACTATTCAAGCAAACAGGAGCAGGAAACAGAATATGTTCTCTTCCGCCCGTAGTCCTCTAGCCATTTTGACCTGTGAAGAAATACGTTATTTACTCAGACCTTGGGCATGCCACCATTCAAATCAAATTTGAAGAAAGAAAATTATGTTAGGGACAACACTGCATCACACAACATGTCTCTTATAGAAATTCCCAACAAAATTGTCTATAAGAGGAAAAAACTCCTTTCCCTAACCTAAAAATACCCCAACTGCCTTATCTGGATTTAACATCCTCTAGATATCTTTTGAAAACTGACCCAGATCTGCCTTGAACTGAATGAAGCTCTTTACTCTTATCATTGTTGCGGGAAGACAACTCCACAATATCATGTGGCGGTGGTGGTGGCAGTGGTGGTGGCAAATGCCATGAAATAACAGCTGGCTGATGCTTTCCTCGTAGGGCTTTCAAGGCAAGAGACGTTCAGGGGTTGTTTGCCATTTACTTCCTCTGTGTAGCAGCCCTGGGCTTCCTTGGTGGTCTCCCATCCAGGTTCTAACCAGAACTGACCCATATGTTTATATGCCTGGGATCTGATGAGATCGGGCTAGCCTGGACCATCCAAGTCAAGGCCCACAATTTCATACTCCTTTAGGATTTTTTAATCTATTTCCAATCTAAATCAATGACTGGTTTACAGCCATTCGCTCTTGTACCCAATCGTTTGTTTACCCCTCTGATGTCTGTAGAGTTGCTACTATGTCCTTCCTGCAGCTACCGTTCCTGTTCTCTGTGGTCCTTATTACACTCTTACTAGTAGAAAGAACTGGATCAGGAGCCATGAAACAGAGCTCTTATTATCCCATCTCATACACTAAGAGTAGCTGAATACGAACTGTGAAATGCAAGAAAATTATTTCCTGCAATTATTGGTAGAGTTATTAATTTTTCTCTCTCTCTTTCTCCAGTTTATGAATTTTGTCGCTAATTACTTGAATGGTTTCACAATTCAGTGGCCTTGGATAAATTCCCACAGATTGCGATAAAACTCTTCCGTGGCACAAAATCGAATAAGACTGAGTGCTCCCCAGCTTGTGTACTGTTTCCATTTTTAAAAAATAAATAAATCTTGTGCTTAATTCATGATCCAGACATCAGAAGGGTTTAATGTCAGTCTGAAAATCCATACCCCCCCCCCTTCTCTTCTGCCGCATTCACGGTAAGCCACATTTTCTGTTGTTTTATCTAAGGATACCTTTTCTCTCCTTTTCTGGGTTCCTTCGATAATGTGAGTTTCTTGATACTCTTGAAATGATTTATCCACATTGCCTCTCCTCCTCCTTTCATAGGCAAGCATCACTGCCCTCCTGCAGCAGCCGTACAGTCCATAGAGCCCACCAGGGCTTTTTTTGTAGAAAAAGCCCAGCAGGAACTCATTAGCATAATAGGCCACACCCAATAGCAGAAACACGTTAGCCTATTGGGCCACACCCCTGACAGCACCACTCATTAGCATATTAGGCTGCACCCCCATGTTACCAGAAGTGTGGTCATCCAGCCACACCCACCTTTTGCTTCTTATTCTGTTTACCTTGTTTGTTGTCAAAACCCAGGGCTTTTTTTGTAGCAGGAACTTCTGTGCATGTTAGGCCACACACCCCTAATGTAGCCAATCCTAATGAGTTTCTGCTGTTGGGTGTGGCCTATTATGCTAATGAGTTCCTGCTGGGTGTGGCCAACTCAGGAGCCAGCCGGAACTCCGTTCCTGTGCGTTCCTGCCCAAAAATAGCCCTGGAGCCCACCTTGCAAAGCAGCCATTTTCTCCAGGTTAACTGATCTCTGTTGCCTGGAGACTCCTTGTAATTCCAGGAGATCTCTAGCCACCACCTGGAGTTTGGTAACCCTAGTTCTGGATCAGCTATGCGCCACACTGAACCCATTACTTAGTTTGTTGGTAATTAGACTTATACCAACCAAAATCTGCCATCTGATGGTGTGGCTTGATGTGAGCCAGGATGCTCCCGTCTCCCTTTCACCCTCAGTTGATCAGTAGAGGATGATGCTATCACTGAGCGTTGAATCTCCAGATTAGGACTACCTACAAATTGGTCTTTCCAGTGGGAAGCCTCCAATGCTAGGCATCCTCCGTTGCATCATTCCATTATATCTCAAGTGGCAGCTGACATCAGCATGCATCTGCTTTCATTCTTGTCATATGCTTAGGGACACTTTGTGGGGGACCTAAATACATTCTTCACATTTTGTCATTTTTGAGCAAAACCAGGTGCCTTCACGCACACTTTCCTTCTTGGAATATCAGAAAATGAATGTTTAACAATAAGGTCACGTGTAGCCTTTCATTGTTGTTATCGCCACTGCAAAAAAAAAAAAAAAGCCCTGAGAGGGTTTGGTTCAGACATTGATGTACATGTTCACTTCAGAACCTCAAGCTTGTTTGCGAGGGCAAGTCTATAATCAAAGCTAAATAGTCTGTTTTGCTGGGCTTTGCGCTGTCAGCTAGGTCCTTCCTGACAATAGAAAGGCACAAAGAACATCTTGACAGAGAGAGGTTACTTATCATTAATTGTAGTTCTCCGGGAGACTGAGCGTTGCCTCTCTGTAATCACATTTGTTGACCCCTTTGCCTTTCCCCTCGAGTGCTGCTTCCCCCGTAAGGAAGAGCATCAGCCCTCACAAACACAACTGCAGACGTATGATACCACAATTCCCTTTGGGACTGAAAATATTGGCTGCCCTTTATCTCTAGTGAACTCTGGATAATGCTTGCAGAAGACCATGTTCATGCTCCAAAACAGGTTTTGGCATGCAAACTGCAAATAACCGAATGTTTATTCTTACCCTTGAGTGCTTGTTAAGAACGCGGAAGGGAAATCGTCCTTCATTCTGAGTAATGTAAAAGGTAATTTGGGATCAGGTCCCAATTAAACAACTACATGAAAATAGATTTAGATGACCATTCCTAACCCCCAACATCTGTAGCGTAGCTGTACAGATACAACTGGGTTATAATGAAAGTATTCCACAAGCGATAAGTTCAATGTCTACTCATGCTTCTTTCACAAGTGTCAAATATCTGACTTGTGCGAAGAAGAAATGAATACATGACCCACTTCTGTGTAAATCCCAATATTTGGAATGTCCTCTGTGCTCACAATCTGGATAGTCTTCCTTTCTCTGGTGACTTGACAAAATGGGACAAGGTACCTTTTGTGCATTCACACACTAGTCAATATATCGAACTGAACAGTGAGTAG